ACTACATAAAATTTGGTTCAAAACAAATAGCATGCTTGCTCCGTCTACCTGCTCCGCATTCGTTGATGGCCGTAAACATACAAATCTCTTTCGAAGACATCGATCCTGCTTGCTCCTTAAGTACGGTACATGTCAAAGCGGGCGTTTCTGACTGAAATGTTTGAGATCCTGTAGAATACTGTCAATATCGAATAAATTGGAAATACGAGCCCCTTCCCACTTCAGTTGGCCCACTTCAAGATTTGTACCAAAATATGCCATGACGAAACTATTTACTTCTAAAACAATTTATTTTCTCAAAAACATTTTAGATTCACTCTATTCATAAAAAATACATATTTGAAATCACTTAGACCTATAACTAATAGAACATCTGAACAAATAAACAATGTGCGAATAAATGCCCGAAGTTAACAAAACAACAATTGAAAGATTACCATTGGGTAACATCACCTTTATTTTTTATTACGACTGAAAATCTTTGTGGCATAGTGTTAACCAAGTTTTGGCAAAAATGTGGTGTAAAACAATCCCATATTTCTTGAAGCTTTTGTCTCAGTTCGGTGATTGTACGAGCAGGATGCTGTCGTAGAACCTTTTTCATCGCGTGCCACAAAGTTTCAATAGGTGACAGATCTGGACTGCTAGAAACCCATTTCAAAAGTAGTACATTATTTTCTTCCATCCATTTTATAGCCTTTTTGAGGTGTGGCACGCTGCACGATCTTGCTGAAACACAAAATCTTGGCCGGATGTCAAACATTCTTTCATCACTGGTAAAAGCGATTCTTCTAAAATTGCCAAATATTTGTTTGTATCCACATTTCCATCAATAAAATGAAGTTTTCCTACTCCTTTTGATGACATACTACCCCAGACCATAATGGATGCTGGAAATTTCACTTTTCTCTTCAGACAGTGAACATGGAATGCTTCATTTTTTTTGCGAATAACTCTACTGCGACTGTCACCAACACAAACTTCGAATCGGGCCTCATCACTCCATTGTATTGCACACCACTGTTGAGGTGTCCATTGTCTATGTTCTTCAGCCCATCTAAGCCGATTTTTCTTTTGCAGTGGAGTTAATAGTGGCTTTTCTTTGGCCTATAAACAAGTTGTGCAACTTTAGGGTTTTTATTTCACTTTTTTTATAAGAAAACTTGCCTTGCAAGTGCTAAATCCCAGTTTGTGGGCCTCTCTATGAGTTGTGGACCTCGAAATTCTCCTTCCAACAGCGTCACTCCACAGAGCACTTAATTGTAAATAATTGGCACGCCTGTTTTTCACGATTATTCTTCTTAATGCTCTTTGGTCGGCATTTGTGATCTTACTTTTTTTCACATATCGTGGCTTAATATTAACTGAACCAGTTACGTTATATCTTCTAACAATATTTCTCACACTGTACCGCGATAAGTCTAATAAAGTTGCAATTTCTGAGTTTGATTTCCCAGAATTAAAAAATTTAATTATCAGTAACCGAATTTTCTCACTAATAACCTTTCCTCTACCCATTTTGAAACTCTTAACTACCCAAAACCATTTTAAACGTATTCTGACAGCTGTGATTAATAAAAACAATTGTCATGGCTTTTATTTTTCACAGCCACCTATGCGTTATAGACTTATTTTGCATTGAAATGAAAATAGGTTGATATGCTGTAATTGCAACATGTGCTATTTTTATGCTGCAAATTTGATTAGGGAGTGATAAAAATGGTCTTTTCTACTATGTATTATCAAAATATTCATTATTAATATTTTAAAGCTATAACACCCTGCTACATTTTTATTATTTGTATTTGATAAGAAAAAAACTAATATTTTAATAGTTGGGCCAACTGAAGTGGAAAGGGGCTCGTAGTACAGCAGATAATTTCTTATTATAAAAATAATTTGAAAGTATATGAAAGGTATACTGGTTTGAAATACTATAATTTACCAGGCTTTCGAAGGAAGCCAAAGATATAGTTCAATTCACTCCATACCTGATAACAAAATGTCTATGCTAGCTTACAGGGCCTTTAATTTCAAAATAATGTTGAAAGACTCTTGGAAAGTACGCTTATGCTTAAAAATCGACCTAATTGGGTAGCTGTATTCACTCATACCTTAATACTAAATTATCCCAGAATCGGTGCACCACTCAAAGACAAAGAATAAATCAAATGCCTAGAATGAGAATCATTATGGCTCTGTAGAAAATAATCATGTAACATTTAATCCCTCCAGCAGAAATCGTAAGCTACCAACAACAACATCTTGTTTTTTGCCATTGAAGGAAACTTTCCTTTTGCGAAAAATTGGTCTCACCTACGCAAATATGTATAATATGAACGAGGGGAAGCTTTAGCAGTTGTTTATTCATTTCCTGTCTCCGTTCGGCGAAGATCAATGGCCTTCGTCCGACTCTTGATGTCCTGAATAATTAACGCACAACCGTACAGGTCACCGGCAATTAATTCCGAACGTGTTTTTGACAAACCAAGTGTATTTCTCTAATTAGCCGGCTCTTCCAAATGCGAAATGGATAAACACCGTAATGATTTGCGTACACAGCGTGACCGGAAAACCGAAACATGTTCCTTCAAAGCAGTTCTACTAGAAGATATTTGCAACAAATTAACCCTCACCCAATGATGATCAATGATAAGCGTGTTATCGAGTTATTCAGGTTCAATGTCACCGGAAAAGTTTACAAAAAAAGATTTATTTTTAGGTATCAATTGGACCCCGTTATGCAATATGGAACCAAACCATATTTTGGTCTAGAATGAAGTATTTACATTTTCTAAATCATGAATCAGCTAGCCATGTTTCGCAACAAGAAACCAGGCTTTAAATAGCTGCTGGCGCCATCTATGGGTGAAAGAAACTTATTGCAAATTTCAAAGCAAGGTCACTGCAATTTTCAACGAAGTTCCAAGTATACTTGAAACCTTATTGCAAGGTGTCAGTTATTCCTTTTTTGTTTTGGAAGAACCAACGGTACTTGGTTATCTTTTGCATATTTGTGTTGTATAGTTGAGCGTTACAAAGTGTATCTAGTTGCTACAGGTTATATTATTCTATTTGGGGATGTATTGCAATAGAACGATGTTAATAATGGAAAGGGTTGAAGCAGAAAAGGGTATCGGTTCGTCAGAAATCCCAAGCACTCCGGTAAGTTGCATCAAATTTGATGACCAGTTGTATTATTATGCTTTATCTTTTATATCATACCCTCAAATGATAAAATTTGATTTTGGAAGGCGGGTTTTATATATTTTTGGGTCTCTGTACGCCGTTTCTGTTTCAACATTGACCAATCTGGACTAGGCTAACCATTATTGACATATTTCTTAGAGAGCTGTATTTGAAAAATGCAGATGGTTCCTTGTTGCAAAGTAATCTCTGTGCAGGGCTTGTAGCTCACTTCAGAGACAGGGACAGGAATAATTTGTAATGAACGCTCGCCAGCAAAGTCATGTGTAAAAGAGATTCATGACGAACCAAAGAAATATATTTCATTTGGCTAAAATATTTTATCTAAATTTTCCACAGGGTACAAAAGAGTATCATCCCAATACTTCGATGGATAATGAAAATGAAAATTTCCAGACTCTGCCACGCTGCTACGAAAAGTATGCTATTAGTGAATACTTGACGCAGAATACTGAAGTTACTGATATTCAAAATATTGAAGATACCAACGATTATATCAAAGACAAGGATTATGAACCGCGTTTTTCCGATGAATCCTCTGTTGACAGTAATCACAACTTGCTATCAACGGAGCGTACAGAGAGGGCAAGCAACAACAATATTGCTGCAGCTCCAGAATATAGGGGACGTCCAAAAAAAGGAAGGAAGCTGAAGTACGAGGAACAAAACAGACCGATGCGGAAAAAACTTAAACATTGTAATAAACAGTATTATTCATCTAAAGGAAAACAAGTTCAACCAAAAGAATTCATAGATCATAAATGTTCCTGTGCCATCAAATGTGACTAAAAAAGTATCTGTTGACGAGAGAAAAAATGTTTTGACCATTATTGGAACTTGGGGGATTATAACGTTCAAACAACCTATTTAACAACATGGGTTAAGGAGGAGAAAGTAAAAAGAAAAAACACTGGTGCTATAAACTCAGAGAAAAGACAATTTTCTAGATATTACTATGTTAACAAGAAACTCGTTTGTAGAGATATGTTCGTTAAGACGCTCCAAATCTCAACTAAACGTATATATTAACACATCACTGTGTAAGATAAGATCGTTATCAACACTTGATCGCCGAGGTATTGCTGGTGGTCACAACAAAATCAGTGATGAACAAAAAAATGCGGTTATCAGTCACATTAATAAGTTTCCCCGCTATAAGTCTCACTACTGTAGGGCAAAAAGTGGCAAACAGGAATATTTGGCAGAAGGAACGACACTTACAGTAATGTATAAGCTTTACACAGATGAAAATGTGAATACCGTGAGTTTTTCCTCCTACAAGAAAATTTTTTTAAAGGAGTTCAACTTAAAAGTGAAAAAACCCAAGAAAGATACCTGTAATAAATGTGACGCATTTGACATAAAGCTCAAGAACTTACCAGCAGGAGAAGAGAAGAGTAAGATCAGCTTTGAACATAGCATGCATTTGGCTGAAGCAGAACAAGCCAGAACTAAGATGAATAGTGATATCAGAGAAGCAACACAGAAAAAGGAAATAGAGACACTGATCTTTGATATGGAGAAAACACTTCTGTTGCCACGTCTTAGTACAAACATTATATTTTATAAAAGACAGCTATGGCTCTATACTGAGGGATATGTGCAGCGAAGGAGGGAAAATCCACTTTCAACCTGTGGCTTGAAGGACAAGCCGGTCCCGGTGCCCAAGAGGTGGGCTCTTGTTTGATGCGTTATATTGCAAATAACGTCTCAAAAACCGTTAAAAACCTTATATTATGGAGCGACTCCTGTGGAGGTCAAAATAGAAATATTAAGATGGTACTTTTGTTGAAATGTGCTCTTGGGGAATCTCCACACCTAAAAAGTATAAAGTTGCGATTTTTGACATCCGGACACAGTTTTCTACCAATGACAGTGATTTTGGGGATGTAGAATGTGTTCTCAAAAGGCACACTAATATGTTTTCTCCTGAAGACTACATTCGGGTTATGAAGTCCTGTAGAAAGAAGCGTCCCATTGAGGTGGTGAGCATAGAAAAAAAAGACTTTGTTAGTACCAAGAAGCTTGAAAAGGTAATAACTAATAGAAAAAAAAGCTGTGAAGAGGAAAAGATCAACTGGTTGAAAATTAAAGAAATTAAGGTTTTAAAAGAGAAGCCTTTTAGTATCTTTATCAAAACCCACGACGCCAATTGATACTAAAAAAGGAAAAGGTAACCCACAAACAATGCCATTCTCTCGGTATTTGCAACCTCTTTGGTCCAACGGAAAGCGTGTAGCAGATGCTAAACTTAAGGATATCAAGAACTACTTGAACCTCATTCCTCCGGCAGATCATCCTTTTTATGTTAACCTTATTGGTAACGATACACTCGAGGAAGATACAGAAGGGTATAATGCAGAGCTGGATTTCCAAATGCAAGAGGATTGACATTTTCAAAAAAGCCATTTTGCAAAAAGGAACCAATTGTTTTTTTTTTTCATTCAATATTGAGAATTTTTTTTTCATTTTTCGTTTCCTTATTTTTGAAGGATCATGATCTGAAATAACAAACAAAATCTTTTTTCTCCGTTTACTCAGAAAGATGTTTTTGCTGGTTGGTTCCCTGTTGCATAACGAGGTCTAATTGACTGACTGGAATTGCAATTATGTTAGGAGAAAATCCAGCGCGAGATTCCCAATAAGGGGAAAATAACGTACCGATCTCAATACCTTATTTTTCTAAAACTACTTCAATTATCGACGACCAATATTCTTGTGGCCTGATAATATTGGGCAGGGTTTTTCCTAAACATATCATATGGTTAAAGAGAGTGTAAGATGCCGATAATACGGAAACTTCTTATTACCCGACTGCCACGAGATGTTTTTCGTGCGTGGGTATGAAAACAGAAAATTATATTTCATGGGCTTCACTGATGAAGAACTGTACGATTCCTTTTAGCGGTGCTTGTGACACCGGCTTTAATAAAATTTTATAAAAACAAATTGTCAGATTTTAATGAAAAATCAACCTTAAAATTCCCAATGTTTTAAGAGGCTTGATGAATTTTGATATATGCTGTTGGATTGATCGTGGCAGTGCGAGTGACACTGGCTACATTAGAATTTTATGGAAGCAAAATGAGGGATTTTAACAAAAATATAGCTTAAAGTGATTGATGGATTTTGATATATGAGATGTTCATAGATTTTGTTGGCATTGCGAACGACACTGGGTGCACCAACATTTTATGAAAGCAAAATTCAACCTTGAAATCCCTATTTACTCCAGATACACGGCTTGATATAATTTGATATTTGAGGTGTCTCTATATATCTTGACAGTGTGAGTGACACTGGATATACTAAAATGTGGTGGGTTTTATTAAAAAAATTTTTACCTTGAAATTTTCTGTTTCACAACCTACAGCATAAACAGCTTGATATATTCTGATATATGAGGGGTTTCTAGATTTGCCTTGACATAGCTGACGACACTGGGAGAACTAAAATTTTATGAATGCAAAATGGCGGACTTCATTAAAGAAAATCATCAACTTGTTTCATGGCCTTGATTGGCTTGACAGATTTTGGCATAAGAGTGTTCGTCGAAATATCAGTGTCTAATTTTTATAGTTCCAGGAAATCTTGTATGGAAGCCAAAAAGCATTCTACATTTAGGTATTGTACGCGCTGTCGCAATTTTTGATTTCCATGACTTCAATATTGCTTTTGTCCAAATTTTGGGATCGATGTCTTGCCATCCAATGATGGTTTGGTTTAAATATAGCTTTAGATTTGTGCGTTAATATGTACAAGCTATTCCTGTGAGCAAAAGGCCCTGTGTATAGTTCAACCGCCGGGCCCTTTTGCGCCCTTATATGTGGGGCTGACATCTTAACGTTGTTGCCGGAAAACAATCCCACCAGCAAGCTCAGATTGTTTCTATCTAGAAATAGGTAAAACGTGTACCATCGACAACAGCCTCTAAAATGGGTCTCCGCGCCCTTCGGAGATGCCCAATGATACTATCAGCTTCCGCGAAGCAGTGCCCCGAAATCCACTCCCCTCTTGTTACCTAAGGCTAGTCTAGGTCCAACACTGTCGTCCGTTTCCGCTGTCGTGAGTGAATACGGGTGCCGTACAACCCAATATATCCCGTTGCCTAAAATACGTCAGACCAGGTACCTCGCTGCTAACAAAAACCATTGAAAGTGATTTTGATGGGTACACCAATTTCTGTAGCAAAACTTTTTATTTGACAACAAAGAATGAGAAAACGTGTTTTTTGGGATTCAATCGAAAGTATTGACAGGAACGGAAAAAGTTTTCATTAAGATTTTTAGGTATTTATGAGACCTACAAAATGAGTCCATACGTAAAAAGATCCGAGTAATATCAAAAATGTTATGGCCTCAAAACGAGGCAAGATGCAGGTTTTGGCACTTGTTGGTAATGCGACGATAATTTCACGCTACTACTTTTAAGTAGCATTTTAATGCTTCAACTCCGTAGGATTCGCACTTCTAAATAACAATAACAAAATTGTATTATATTGGTCAAGTGGTTTTCAAGAATTTCTAATTGTTGATCAATCTACTCCAATTTTGTGGTGGTTATTTAGAAGTACGAATCCTACGAATTTGAAGAATTTTGAAATATCTGCGAGAAACCATCGTCACATTACCAACAAGTTACCTCGGTTTTCAGCCGTAACTTTTTTCTGTTAGTCGGATCTTTTTACGTGTGGTCTCATTTTGTAGGTCTCATACTCGTAGATACCTAAAAATCTTATATGAAGAGTTTTGTCGTTCCTGTCAACACTTTCTATTGTATCCCAAAAAACACGTTTTCTCATTCTTTGTTGTCGAATAAAAAGTTTTCCTATAAAAATTGGTGTACCCATTTTATGAGTCCATGTTTTGAAAAGCCTCTTGAATAACTTACAGCAATAAAAACAGACTTTATAATTATTTCACAAACCAGGTGTATTTTCGTCTAATATGATTAGACTAAATCTTGGCGGTCAGAACACTAGTTAGTAAGCTTTCCAGATATATGTACGTGGTTTTAGTCAACAGCCAATATAGCATAGACATTTGTCAAAAATCATTACATAAACTATTGCAAATACTGTACCTGTTAACAGTAAATTAAATTTATGTAGTTTATTTGAGGGTTCAAAAACTGAATAAACACTAATTAATACATGTACCTGTTACTTTCACCTAGTCATAACTGTATAAGTAAGTCAACAAGCTACCAATAATTAAATGGTAAAGATCTGGATCAAACAACTAATGCCAATTTTCTAAGCGTAGCATTAGATCCACTTAAGCTAAATATTAAACAACGAATGCCATCCATTACTGAATACTCACAATAAAATTTTAAATAATCTGTGATATCCGAGCGGATGGTATTTTAACACTAGTTATTGTCAAGATCCGTAATCAAAAATACATTCCATTTATGCCGAACAGAATACGTAATTGATATTTTCCATACCAAAGCAAACGTCAGATCGTGGAATAACTTCGACGTTCCTCTCAGTTGGAAACAAAGGGTCTGAATAGCCTCCTATTGAAACAAAATTAATTATGAGTCGTCAAGCGGATATTACATTTTAATTAATTTCAACGTTTCGTTTCTTTAATTAATTATTTCTCTGCTGGTTTCATCTCCAGATACGAGAAGGATATTGAATTCATCTTTGCCGGTGATTTCATTGACCTGTTTTTGCAGGTCAGTTATGTACTTGTCAGATATCTGATGGTCCGCAGACGCTTTGTGAAATCGGAGTAGCTTAGAGTGCTATCGTGTATTTTAAAGGTAAAATCGGTGTGATTCACATTTTGGCGCAAAAATTCAGCATTGTGTAGCTGCAAATGCGTGCAGTCCCTGTGGCCACCATCAATCTGTACGTAACTAATTGGCGATTTTTTTGCTAGTATCTTTTTGGCAACACTGTTTGTGACAGATGACGCGTGACTCGTGTCTTGTGTCATTGTCAAGCTTGTTCAGTTTGGTCTATAATTTAACCATGAATCGACTTACGAACGAACAACGCTTGCAAATCATTGAATTTTACTATCAAAATTCATGCTCGGCTAAGAAAGTGCATCGAGCACTGCTTTCAATTTATGGGCAATTTGGTCGGCCTACTGAGGGAGCTATTCAGAAGCTTGTGACTAAATTTCGAACCCAGTTTACATTATTGGACATTAAACCACCAACACACAGACGTAGAGTGAGGACTGAAGAAAATATTGCGGCTGTATCTGCCAGTGTTAGTGATGACCGCGAAATGTCGATTCGCTGCCGTTCGCAGCAATTGGGCCTCTGTTACTCCACTACGTGGAAAATTTTGCGACAGGATTTGGGTGTAAAACCTTATAAGATACAGCTGGTGCAAGAATTGAAGCCACACGAACCCCCACAACGTTTCCAATTTGGTGAATGGGCGCTGGCAAAGTTGGAGGAAGATCCACATTTTTATCGAAAAATTGTGTTCAGCGACGAAGCTCATTTCTGGTTGAATAGAAACGTTAACAAGCAAAATTGCCGCATCTGGAGTGAAGACAAGCCAGAAGCATTGCAAGAGCTACCAATGCATCCCGAAAAAAATCACTGTTTGGTGTGGATTATGGACCGGTGGCATCATCGGGCCGTACTTCTTCAAAGACGACAATGGCCGGAACGTAACTGTGAATGGCGAGCGCTACCGTGCGATGATAACAAACTTTTTTTTGCCCAAAATGGAAGAGCTGGACTTGGCTGACATGTGCTTTCAACAAGACGGTGCCACATGCCACACCGCACACGAAACAATGGCCCTATTGAGAGGCGAGTTCGGTGAACAGTTTATCTCACGTTTGGGGCCTGTCAATTGGCCGCCTAGATCGTGTGATTTAACGCCGTTGGACTATTTCTTGTGGGGCCATGTTAAGGCTAATGTCTACAGGGATAAACCAGCAAAAATTGACGCAATGGAAGCCAATATTGAAGCAATTATTCGTGAGATACCGGCCGATATGTTGGAGAGAGTGTGCCAAAATTGGACCTTGCGCATAGGCCATCTAAAGCGGAGCCGCGGTAAACATTAACATGAAATAATCTTTAAACATTAAATTATATCGACCGTTCTATCGACTCAAAGGTTTAATCGTTTTTTCAAATTTTTTGTGTTTTTTTGGAAACCAAGTCCTATACCTCTTAAAAAATCACCCCTATATGTTTATTCACTGAATCAAAGCACACAGCGTCGAATAATTACAGTAACGCACATGGTTGCCACATTAATTAAAACTACGAGATCTTAGGACGTTGTACAAAATCTACTTTATGTCTTCGATGCCTTACCGCAACCATCATTACGGAGCGTATGTTTTGTAAACGCTAGAGCTGGTATAAATTCTATTTACTACCTAATTTTTTATTTATTTACA